TGAGGTCTGTCTCCAGTACTGTACAGCTGCCCTGCTAGAAAGTCATGTGTTCATATTTATAGTTATAGAGTAAATATAAATAAATATAAATATAAATATATAGAGTATATTTATAGTTATTAAATATAAGGTTTTTGGTTTAATTAACAACTCTCTAAAACAGAATGCAATAAAACCGTTTGTAAAGGGAGGCTTTATTACAGGGGTGTCGTATTCAGACTGCGATACTTGTAGCTTCATACATATAAAAACTGCTAAAAGATTGAGTCTGCAAATCTATTTAAATACTGTTTAAAGTGTTCTTACCTTCAACAGTGCATCATAGTTAGAATACCTGGCTTTTTTCCCCCCACAAGGTTTTGTGCACCATTATTTTAAATTCTGAGATACTTGATCTTTTGTCCAAACTTTTTACTAGTTGCTTGTAATATACTCCTATTCAATTACACACTGAAGAACGTAAAAAACATGGAAGTTAACTATTAAGAGCAACTGGAGTTCACTTCCTTTCTCAAGGTTTATAAAAGCAGACATACTTTTCTAGACCTTGTGAAAGGCTTTTAGAATCATAAGAAGAGTTTCCCCTGCCATAATCACATACAGTAATCATTTATTGAAAGTTGAGACTATGAAGCAGAGTTGTAGTGATTACATCTGAGACAGCGTTTTCGACTTGATCCATTTTGATATTATACAAAAAGCTGTGTGCTTAACTCTATATCTTATACCCTTATCCATCCTTTAAACCAGGCCTTCCCAAAGTGTGGGGCCCACCCCCTAGGGGGGCGCAGAGCCATTGCAGGGGGGGCGCGGTATGAAAAGGGGGGAAAAAAACAAAAAACAAAACACTTGGACACTGCTAACACAGGGCACCCACAGAAATGCAAAGTAGGAGATGAAGCATCGCTGAATATGTTTCCAAACCAACTTCATTCTAAGCCAAAGACTAGAAAATATGGTGAAGCAAATCTGCCCTTTGGCTTCACCTGCACAGGTGCCGAGGTAGGTCTCCCTGCAGGATTGGTTTTCCCTGCGTCAGGAGCAGCGCTGGGCTCTTCAAATCACGGAATACAACTCTTCACTTGCACTGATGACAGCTATAGCTGAAACGTATTCATGTCGCTTAAAAGTAAACACTCAGTGAGTGCTGGCGTTTTGTTTGTTTAAAGCAGTGGTTCCCAAACTGTTTTTGCTGGGCCCCCCTTTGTTTTACAAGAAAAATGTTCCCCCCCCGTCCGCGCATGGACAAACAGTATCCCACATTCTTGATTTTTAGTTCACAAACACTTCTTGTAATGACTAATGCTACAGGTATAGCTCTAAAGAATATAGCATCATGGGCAGTGTAGTCTGTGCTGCAGGGAGAATGGACTGCCATACCCGTTATGTGTCTGTGAGCGCGAGGAGGGAGAAAAAGGAAAAGTACGAGTTGTCATCGAGCAAAAACGGGAGCTGGAAGTAGGGCTGGGCTATATCATACCGTTCACGGTAATACCGGTGTAATTTTGGGCAACGATAGGAAAATGAAATATGGCGATAGAATATGGGTAAAACGTGCATGCGCAGTGCCTGTGTTTACATACGCACATGGGGGTGACGCAGAAAGAGAAGAGCGAAAGTGGATCGTTGAATGAAACCATGAACCAGAACTGGTTTGTAAAAATGCTGCAGCTTCACTGGTGTGGAACTGGTTTAGCTTTCGTCCGTCAGATACACAACAAAGCACTATTTTTGGTAGCGCATGCTAGCGGGCCGTCGTTATTACCGTGTTGTTTGGAAAATACGGCGCACTTAAAATCAATCCTTTGATTTTTCTGAAAGTCGACAGAGCCCCTTATAATCCCGTGTGCCTTATGTATGAACTCTGGTTGTGTTTGCTGACCTCGAAACGGTTTTATGTACACGGCGACTTTGCTAAGCTGCGAAGCCGCACCGCTCTGATGGATTGTCGGAGCATTACGGCTATCGTAGGCAGGAGCCTCGCGGAGTGATACGTACTGCCTGCTCAACATGAATATTACCGTATTGTGTGTGTATAACCTCTTTTTAAGTTTTGTGGATATTATACATGGTTATGCTGAGGATGATGTCGGCCAGTTTCCACTGGAAATGCCTTTTGGTTAAACTGTCAGCGAGGAATTTGCACTGTTACATTTTTATATAACTTTAATGCACATAAAAAACAGCTGCTTGTTTAAGTGAAAATACATTGATGGGGTTTTTTGCACTAATAAAGTTGTGGAGCTGTAAAGTATTTTGTCTAGTGTCAGTTATATCGTTATCGCAAATTTTCAAATGTATATCGTGATGAATATTTTTGGTCATATCGCCCTGCTCTAGCTGGAAGCATGTAAATATAATAATAACCACTGCAGCCAAGAAGAGAGCCTGACGAGCCCAGCTGTAAATAAGCTGTTAAGACTCGACTGACACCGTGTTCGTGTTTTCCTCTGAAACAATAAGCTCCGTTGGAGCAGCCTTTCAACGCCTCTCTCTGTCTCTAAAGTTGACCCAGACAACAAAGTAAAGCTAGTTTTCGGCTACGAGCTCAACACGAACCCGACGTATCAGCCAGAGGTCCCTTTACTACGGTTCGGAGTCGCGGACCTTCAGTAACAGTAATAAATCACAGCAATAGTACATTCACGTAGTTGTAAACAGCATGATAATATATTAAGTAATCCAAAGTATTCAGAATACGTTACTCTCATTGAGTAACGTAACGGAATATGTTACAGAATACATTTTGGGGCATGTATTCTGTAATCTGTAATGGAATACATTTTAAAAGTAACCTTCCCAACACTGGTCATCAGTGCAAGTGAACAGTTGTATTCACTAATTTAAAAGGTTGTAATCACAGAGTGGTGCTTGTGAGTAGTAAAAAAAAAATGAAAATGATTGAATTACAAGTTTTGCAGCTCTCGATATATTTGTGTAAATATGTAAAAATGATAAACACAAGTGTGTGAAGCTTAATCTTTTTTCCTATACATTTTCACACTTTAGTTTTCAGGTTCTCACATTTTGCACCGTATTTACTTTCATATTGTTCCTCCTCGAGTGCTGCCACAGCCTGAGATGAACTGGAGGCTTTAGTGCTGGCCAGAAGACCAGGAGCTCCACGTGTATTAACAAGGAATTTAGAAGGTCGCCCATCGTTGTTGCGTATGGTGATATATGATGATACAGCTGTAGTGTAATTAAAAAGGAGAGGTGGGTCACTGCGTAGTGCAGGGGTCCCCAACTCCAGGCCTCGAGGGCCGGTGTCCTGCAGTTTTTAGATGTGTCCGTGATCCAACACAGCTGATTTAAATGGCTAAATGACCTCAACATGTCTTGAAGTTCTCCAGAGGCCTGGTAATGAACTGATCACTTGATTCAGGTGTGATGACCCAGGGTGAGATCTAAAACCTGCAGGACACTGGCCCTCGAGGCCTTGAGTTGGGGAAGCCTGGCGTAGTGTAACAGCTGCCGTTGTAATGCAGTGTATTACCGCATGGTGGCGCCTCCTATCTCATGACTGGTGTGTCACTCCCTTTTTGTTCTTCTTCGCACTCTCTCTGTAATGGATTCTTCCGTGTACACAGACTAGTGAGCTCTCAAGTAAGGTGTGGTAGAGGTAGCACATGAATGGCCCTGCCAACCGGAGTTATGCACAAAGTTATGACTTCCAGTTCTTGAAGATAATTTTTTTAGCGATGTGTGAGGCAGTAACAACTATGTTTGATTTATGTGCTTCCATTTATGTGCTTATGTCACCTAACATGAGCAGTTTAGGTGTGGCAACTAAACCGTGTGGAAAGGTCTTCACATATCCTCCGACAGGCCCTCTGAGTAGGCGTACAAGACCATACAGCGTGCACATAGTTTTCAGTGGGTGTTTGGGTGTTTTCAGTGTGTCTGAGTGTGTGAGGCCCATTTGGAACATCCTTTGTCCTGTATATTGTGTTCTATGGAGAGTTCTGCATGTTGTAAGTTGCTGTATTAGGATCAGACGTTTTGATATGGGTTGATGGAAAGATCTTGCTCCCGTTTTGCAGTTTTATGGGAAATGGAATCACCAATTTTACACATTTTATATGTGTTTGATAACCATTTAGGGGTAGAGATATTTTAAATATTTTGTTGCCCATGTAGACATTTGAGTTCAGTTTACTGGGGTAAATCATTTTTGTGGGCTGGACTTAAAATCAGAGATCTTTACTTGTCCACAGAGAGCTTGTTTTAGGTTCAGCCATGGGCCGTCTAACAAGCTTGATTCGATCCATTCTGAGTCATACAGCGATCTGTTGGCTAAAAAGTAGAGATACAAATTTGGTCATTCTAGACCTTTGTGTTTTGGTTTTTGTGAAGTTTTTAAACTAATTTGTTATTGTGGAGGTTTGCTGAGTGAGGCAGAATAAAAATAGTTCAAAGGGTCGACAATCCAGTGTTTTTCTTCAAAACTGTGGTCTAGTGCGTTGTATTTAAAGTGCAGAACAGTTGCAGTCTCTTATCCATGTGCTCTAATGTGTTATCTTTAGACAATTATTTTTTTCAAAATGTACAGAGAGCACATAATTTAACAATACACGACTCAGATTAATAATAATGGAAATAATGATTTGTGATGAAATTCAGTGCAATAGAAAACTAGCTTTCTTTGCAGAATTACACTGAAAATATTTTGGCTCTTATTCTGGTCCCAGGTTATTTTCCTACCAGGAACCAAGGGGAAGTTGTCTAAACAGCTATGGTTGCCTTTTCCCAAATACCAGCTCAATATTTTGCAGAAAAACGGGGTGTTTACTCAAGGATTGTATTCCAACTCGATTTATTATCTCTGAATTGTGTCTTTCCAGGTAACAAAGTTGATTAGAAGTAATAGAAGTCCCAAATGCTGCAGTAATAACTGTTTCTTTCACTCTAACTTGTAAAAAGAAAAATCCCAGGCACCTTTAGAAGAGAGGCTTAGAATGTTGGAAAATAACTCCTCCGTGTTTTTTAAACCAACCCAGATGCCAGGATGAATGCCCAGTTGGCACTTATGGGCCACAGTGTGCTCACAAGTGTGACTGCCAGAACAGAGCCAAATGCTACCACATCAACGGCGCCTGCCTTTGTAACGAAGGCTTCAAGGGGCCTAGCTGTCAGGATCGTTTCTGTCCCACTGGCCTGTATGGACTCATCTGTGACAAATACTGCCCCTGCATACACACAAACACACTCAGGTACTGGATAATTGCTCAGGCTTTCTTACTGTACAACACTTCAGTAGAATAGAATGTTTGAATTACTGTATCTAGTTAAAGTGGAGTTGATATTTTGTTTCACATATTTCTGCTTTTCCCACTAAACCTACTATAAAAGTAACTTTGTGTCGAGGGTGGTCAAAATGGGAGAACTACAAAACAATATACACACTGCAAAAAAACCTTCTAATCTTCCTGCTCTTTCAGCTGTCACCCTCTGTCCGGAGAGTGCACCTGTGCTGCGGGATGGACTGGGCTTTACTGTGACGAGACCTGTCCACCAGGTTACTACGGTGAGGGCTGCAGAGAGCTGTGTGTTTGTGCTAATGGAGCCTACTGTGATGGCATCACTGGAGCTTGTATCTGTGCACCAGGATACATAGTAAGTGCAAAAGATTTCTGTGGCTTAACACCAACACATTCCTTTTCCCCCAGTCCAGTTATTGGAATTTTATTGGTTCTTTTTGTTTTGTCTCACTCTAAACTTGCCAAATATAGATCATGGTATTTTTAAAACAAACTATTATCTTCAAACTATCTACAAGCTAGAGGGAGCCCACAGAAAAGGATGAGCCAGTTGCCTTGCTTCTTGCCTAACTGTATTGTGCTATGGAAACAAACAGACGACTCGTCTCTCAAAGCAAATACTTTGATTCCTGTCTAAGCTGCTCGTTCTACCATTTCACCTGTGTGTTTTTAATTGATTCATTCTAAGTTCATGAGAATGCCTCAATTTGCTGGACAATGTAATTGCACACAAATCAATATAGAAGAAGATCATTTATTTTCTATTAAAGAGCCACAATTCATGTGTTTATCATTTTTGGAATACTCTGTGCAGAGATTGCAAGAAAACAGCATTTTTTATTTTGTAAAACGTTTTATTTTGTATTTTCAAACATTTGCTGTTTGTTTTACAATCAAAACTGTATATCATATCATATCATATTATATTATATTATATTATATTATATTACATTATATTATATCATATCATATTATATTATATTATATTATATTATATTATATTACATTATCGGATGATACAACACGTGGACAGCATAGAGTGAAATTCAGTTTTCACCACCACCCATTCTATTCCACAGTCTTAAGAGAAATATAATGTCTTTGATCAGAGCATGCAGCTATTCACTAAAACTTGCCTAATTAACATCCTCCACATCTGTCAGAACTTTTAAGTTTAAGTGCATTGCATCAGCCATAGGTCTATTCATAAGAAAAAAGCACAGGCTCAGAGGCTTTAACGGCAAGAAATCAAAAGGATTTCCTCAGAAAGAATTGCACATGTAAATGAGGTTCCTAGTATTATTTAACCTGAAGACAGGTTAAAAATAATGAACAACTTCCACCTGGTTGAGGAGAGGGTATTTACAGCCAGTGTGTGCAGAAGATGCACAGAGAAGGCGTAGGACATCCTCTAACAACTGGTGCTGTTGACTCTGCAGGTTTAGACACAGAGCTAATGTGGTCGCAAAGCAGAAAGGCTAATGCAGGTGCAACTCGTATGATGTTTGACAAAGAGAGCACGAGTGTCAGGATGGTACAAAAGTATGTGGAGTTTCTGCCTATATGTAACAGTGAGAGTTTTGCATGCAGTAATATTTAAAATCTCTTGTTGATTTGTCTGTAACTAGTGCAGATGTATGCTCCGTTTTATTAAGCAGGTCTTGTTCCCATTTTGATGAGTAAGTTTAGGTGAAGTTTAGTTTGCCTTCTAATCTTACATCATATTTAGAAAGCTTTGGTTGCTCTGAATTATCAATGCTAATTGCCAGTTGTACAAAGTAAATTAGCATTTGTCCATGAAGTCAGTCCAGCATTTTGGTCAGTGGTTGGACGTAGCGTTTCATAAATAAAGTTGGCATGGCCGTAAACTTACAAGATGGACCCAAAGCTGTGCCACTGTCTATAAAGCTGTGAGACCTATACTTGCTCCAATGATGTGGATGTCTTTCCAGTTACACTAAGTGAGTTACAGTAATGCTTAAGATGAAACCCTCATTATCCTTATAAGAGATCTTACCTCGGTGTGTCCTGTTTGGATCTTTGGTCTTTCAATGCTGTCTGTTATTGTCAGCTCACAGAGGCAAGAACCAGCAGTTTCATTGGCGTCTGTTCCATGAGCTGTTTTTCTATAATTTAATACATAAGTGTTGACAGGAGACCTTTGACACACCTTTTATTATATCGATGCTTATACTACAACCATAACTGAAGATGAATGCCAAATTAACATCTTTACAAAACCCAACCAAAACACAATAAACACACATGAACACAAAACAGATGGTGTCCGTTTGATTTTCACAGAAATTTAAAACTAAAACATCTGTCACGGTCTGCGGAGGCAGACCGTGCGGAAATGTGTGTGGTGGACCCAGGAGCGAACACAAGCGAGGATGCAGGAGTGGAGTTAAACAAAAGCGAGCCTTTATTCTGGCTGATGAAAGGAACAAAACAGAGTGAGGGCAGCATAAGAGTAATAGTTCAAACAGAAACCTAAACTGGACATAAACTAAGGAAAAGCTATGGAGATACGGAACACAGGGGGTGGTAACACAGACGACGCGGGGAAGTCAAATAAGGAGCAACACAACAGGACAACTTAGGAAACATGGCCTAAATAAGGAACGAAATACAAAAATACAAGAAACTAAGAATACTGGGCCCACATGGCCCAGGACCATGACATCTCCAGTTACTTTACACAAAACTCCACTGATTCCCCAAACAGAGACCAACTCTTCAGTGTTAGACACCATTTCATAATAAACTAATTCTGCTTTTAAACGTGCACCTACTATCCCCTTGAACGTAATTTCAGAATTAACTGATCCTGCCCCTTCATTTTGTTCCTCCTTGTGAGCCATGTACTCATCTTAGCTTGACCTATTAAAAAATTAATTAAGCAAACCTTTCAACGCTGCACCACAGAGTACTTTGGACCCAGGATAAAGAGACCCTCCTCTAAAACAAGCCCAGGAAGCCACTGTCACAGCAAAGAAAAGAGGCCAGCAGGCCTGGGACAGCCAAGCCACAGGCGCTGCAGTGTTTCCTTGGTCCGACAGAAAAGACTGTGGCTCCCCGTTCTTGGATCTTTATGTTCCACGTGTTTATTCATAGCCATGACCCCATGCACCACTCTCCACTGGAGAGCCACACTGCGTTTCTCTATGGGAAGCTTGTACAGGGACGTCCAACTGTCAGATGAAATTGGTTTGTTACCTGCAGAGTGAGTGCCCAGTGCAGCCCTTAAGAGTCCAGGAAGACCACCCATGACCTCTTCCACCAGCTTCTCCTGAAGGCACAAAGATCTCACTCCAGTCTCCTAAGCCAGCTTGGCAGCTGTTTTCCACTGGCCTGCTGTCCTCAGCCCCGCCAGCTTTGTTAGGCCAGCATTTATGAGGAACCTCTGAACACTAACAGTGCTGAGCATCATACTTGGTATCAAGGGATTGTAAGGTAGAGCCTCCTCTACATTACCATCTTTACAATAAAAACAGTCCAGTTCCAAGCATGCAAAACAGACTGGTAAAAACAGGAGGTCAGCATGAAGTCTATTCCAGTTACGTTTATGAGAAACAGGTGCTTTACTCTGTGAAGCAGCGTAGATGCCGCTTTGAACCAGGGCGGTTGTTGCTTATCATAAAGATACCGTTGTGCTGTCTGAAAGCGTAATGCTGTGAGGCAGCTAAGAAGAGTCAATCAAACTCTGACCCCCTCTGACACACAGACTCCTTTTTTCTCTGATAATTTTTAATAACATTTAACTTTACAATAAACTCCACCGATCTCACCTGGACCCACAGCACCAACGCTCTGGTAAATAAGGCCCAGCAGCGGCTGCACTGCCACCACAATAACTTGGACTGGAAGTTCTCCTGGTCTTCCTGGTCATGTGGAAAGCATGCTCTCCTGCTGCCTGGATATTTGGTACGCAGGGGCCACTACTAAAAAAGGGAAGGCTGCGCAGAAGGTAAAAATCATTGGCTGTCATTTGCCACCCCTGGAGCCCATTGCCAGATAACCATCGCCACCATCACAGGTGACCCTTCGCTCCCCGCCCAAAACCTGTTTGACCCACCGCCCTCTGGTCTGCGCCTCAGGTCAGTCAGGTCTCCCAACTCCAGACTCACAAACAGCTTCTTCCCCTGGGCCGTTCAGACTATTAACAAACACTATCTGCTGAAAGCCCACCCGGGGTGGGTCAGTTTGAGTAACCCTCATTACTCTACACCATAGGTGTCAAACTCTGGCCCGCGGGCCAAATTTGGCCCGCAGCCTAATTACATTTGGCCCGCGAAGCCATACCAAATTACTATTAGAGCTGGCCTACTGGTATTATACAGCTAATATATATATTGTTTAGTATTAAGCTTTGCTTGTTCCATATTCAGTTTTTCAGCAAAACTTGTTTGAGTCCATAAGAAAAGATTCATTCTTATATCTGGAGGAATAAATATATTTCAATAAATATTAACGTTAGCCCGCGACTTTGTTCCAGTTTTGAATTTTGGCCCACTGTGTGTTTGAGTTTGACACCCCTGCTTTACACTATACTTACACATTGACTCTATATTAGACCAAGTCCTTTGCTCTACTTCCAAGCACTTTGTTTTCTATGTGTGCCTTTTTTTATTTTGTGCCTTTCTCTTGTATATATTCATCTTAACTGTATACCTTTCTCCAATTTATTGCTGCTGTCTTACTATTTACATTTTATTCCTGCAGAGTTGGCGTCTAGCACTCATAATTTCGTTGTACATGTACAATTACCATATAGGGCTATTGTTTCCTGTTCTATTCAAGTGAATATTAAATTAAACAGCAGTGGAGAACGTGTTTTATTGCAGTAAATGATTTCTGAAATTGTTGTAACGAAGTTTAAGGATGTAATTCCTCCACTGTTATCGTCTTCAATGTCATTTAGCAACAGTTCAGAGCAGTTACCTAAACTCTAATCCCACAGAGGTCGATTAACTTGTTAATAGTTTTCTCTCCTCACTGTTTCTGACTCTGGATACTGTGTCTCCTCTGAAAATAGTCTTGAATCAGAAGTTCTTGACTCCCTGGTTAAATCCACAATGGACGCCTTGAAGCAGACAACCTGAAAACTGGAGAGAAAATTGCATCTCACTGATTTAGAAGAGTTTGCTCCACTATATAAGAAAAAGCCCTCTGTGAAGCGAGGACATCTTAGTATTCATCATTGATTGAAGGTGGTTTCTTCTCAGCACTGCAGCCAGGCTGACAAAGAGTCAGGGCTGTGTTGAGCTTCCTTTAACCATAACGAGTGATGACTTGACAAATTTCTTCACAAATAAAATTTCAACCATTGGAGAAATTATTTGTAACCATTCG